GGTGATTTCTCATTGAATATTAGGGAGGCTAAACCTGTGCATTTTATAACATTATTGGTAAAACTAGGGTTGTCAAAAGTATCGAGAATCAAAAAAGTATCAATACCAAAATGTTGTATCCGGATACAATACTCGTTTTTAAAAGTATCGATACAGTGCTACAGTGCTTTATTTCTTAACCAGTTTGGCTAGTGTCATTGTTATGTGTGCAAAGCATAGCCAAGGAAGGAACACTTAATTTTAATATTAGTTTAGCTTGCTTAATATTGTGCACAGCAAACAACCTCAAAATATTGTTCTTATTGTTTATTGTATTTATTTATTGTATTTTATTTATTAATGAAAATATTTCTGTAGAATTTTGGAGTCTTTGTGTTTATCCTTGTGGTATCGAAAATGGTATCGAGTATCGAGTATTTTCCTTAGTATCGGTATCGAGTTGAAAAGTTTAGTGTCGTGACAACCCTAGTTAAAACACACATTGTCAAACTTCATAAATGTATTCATTAACCCGCATTAAATGTGCACAAAAATGCACCTGATTTTATGAGTATTTTGAACATTAATTAGCTGGAGAGCCCTCTCTTCCCCCTGCCAGTCAGCCTCTATGAGAAATCACTGTTGAGGTTTATTGAGGTAAGCATAGAAAAAAAGCAGAGCCCTGATTGGATAACACGACAACATACGTCACTTCCAGTGAGGCTAAACCTCTTAGATGGTCTTTGGAGCAGGAAGGAGTCATGAAGCTGGCTACTCGCTGCTGATTGGAAAACATACTTAGAGTTTTATAAATGACAGTGGCCAGACAGCGAGGAGGTTTTCCTCATGAGTCGAGTGGGAAAAGTGATCATTCATTCAGATCAGTCATCTTCTGCTGAACTCTTGCCGTGAATCATGGTGTTTATTATCAGAGTGCTTCACAGCAGCTCTATCCACCCGTTGCAGTTATGTGTTTTGTGTGTTTCAACATTTGTTAATACAATACTTCACAACTAAGAGACTTTTCTAAGCAATTTTATTCATATTAATGTAAGAGAGCTGCATAAAAAACATGTTGAAAAGATTCTTTTGGGGATTAACAAAGTTATTTATATATCTATATAATCAATCTTTTTTTGACCTCAAGAACATGAAGGGAGGAAAAGTCAAGCTTATCTTTTCTATAAATATTCTGAAATAAATCTTCTTTTATAAAATTATTTATGTAAAATTAGATGAAAACATTCCTTTGACATTGGAAAACTTCATTCCTATAATATAACCTCTTCTAATCTGTGCGTTCCATAACTGGTGAAAAACAGGTATGAAATGATCCAAATCCTTTCCCCTCCAGGAGTATTTCTGTTATTTTATAACTCAGACAAGGATTTACCCAAATGCTTGAGAGCTAACCTCAGAGAGCTTTTGTCACACCGAAAAGAGTCAATGGATTCATGGTCTGGAAATGTTCTTCATCATCATGAATGATTACTAGTCGAGAAATCCTGTAAACTAGATATTTTGGATTCCAGGTACCAAGTATTATGATGGAAGGCAGATCATTTCAAGAATCTTAAATAAGTCTGGCTAATTTTAACACTTCAACACTTTTATATCATGAGAACGCAAGGCTCCTAGACGGCCCTGGAGCCCAACTTAGGTGTAAATCTTTTGCTAATCTAAACCATCAAACATTGATGGTCCGGCCGGGTTGCTGTCTGAGGCAAAAAGCTCCATCTTCTCCTCAATCACTACTTCCTGAGCTCTCCTGCTCGGCCTCTGTTTATCCTCAAATATCCCCCTTGTCAACAGATTAGGACTGAGCCCCGCTGTCTCTTCTTTTCTTCATCTCCCCTCGCCTCCATCTCTCTGTCTCTTTCTATCCGAGTCCTGCCACGCTGTTGTGATGGAATAAAAGAAAGAGGGAGCAAAAAAAAAAGTGGATGTATGTGAACAGGAGAGGGGGGGAAGAGAGGACAGGTGCTTGCAGTGCAGGAATTGCTTCGGTTGCCTCAGTTGCACGATCAGGCAACAGAAATGTTCAGCTCAAGCAAAACTGCTGTTTGAGAATTGAAAAGGAGACTCTTCGCCTGTGGCCAGACCGATGCTGGCAGCGCAGCGGCAACTGGCGACATATCAGAGAAACATACAGGGCCAAGCGGTAATTACAGGAGCCCACAGATTATGCCTGGTCAACCACGCGGAGATGTGGTTCGTTTGTGTGAGAAAGCCACCAGAGTGAGCAGTAAATCAGAAGACTTGCAGAGAGCTGTCAGTGGCAGAGAGGCAGGCAGTAGACACCTGGAGGAATCCAAACAGGCTAAACACACATTAGGCTGCAGCTGCTGGATGTAGGGGATGGATTCACGCTGATCACATTTACAGGCTTACACCGACTCAGCAGGAGACACCGATGCTCTGCTCTATTCTCTTCAGACTGCTCTCTCCTTTCTTTGTTCTGCTAGTTAGGGTTTGTCCTACTCTGCTCAGTCCTTTCCAATTTGTGTGTCTTTGGATCTTTTAATTTTGTTCTGCTTTTTTATTTCTTTGTGTCTGACATTGCTCTGATGTGAGGATATTTCCCTCTATTGTTGCTTTATCTCTTTCAGGTCTGTTTTCTTGTTCCTTTATGTACAACCTTACTTCAAATACCTCTGATTTACTTTATCCCTGTCTGTTTTTACTTACGCCATCCAAAACCAAAACACCCCAACCAAAGTTATTTTACTGGTTCTTTGATAAACTCTTCAGTAGACAATGTTGAATGGACTACCTTAGAGGTTTGCTACGGAACACCAATGACCACACAGAAACAAAGACAGAAGAAAACAACAGAAATGTTATAGAGAAAGACGCTGGGAAGTTCGTGCAATGCAGGGTTATACAAAAATATTACCAGCTAAAATATTATACAGATTTCTGTTCAATATATCCTCTGAAGATGGAAAGCATTACAAATAACCTATGAAGATATGGCCATGCATCTAAACTGATAGGAGACACTGATCTGATCAGAGAAGCCATTGAAATCCTCATGGCAGCTCTGGAGGAGCTACAGAGGTCCACCACTCAGGTGGAAAAATTGTGAGCTGAACAAATGCAATTCTGTGGAAGCCATTTTTATGCAGAAAGACATTAGCATTGACTGTGGTTTGCAAGAAGCAAGTTTAGGGACTCAGCTAACATGATGCTCAGGCCAAAGGAGACCAAGACTATGCCACGTTTTTGTCAAAAAAAGGGTGGCATAGCAGCATCATACCTTGGGGAGTAAGGTGGTCAGTTTATGGTAAGTCAAATGGAGCTAAACAAAGGTGATGCTGAAAATAACCTATCAGAGGCTGCAAAAGACTCTAGACTGGGGTGAACTTTCATCACCAATAAATATACACCCAGAGGTTTGATAGGATTGTCTAAATCAATATGTTTAGGTATAAATCAGTGGTCATACAGTACTTTAAAACCAAATTTACAGTCTACCTTAAAGCTAACGTTGAGGGGAGAGTACACCAATGTGCAAATCTGATAGAGGCATACTTTCAATGAAACTGCAGCAGGGAAAATTGGCACTACCTAGACTTAGCGAATAAAAATACATGCCACACTAAAAAAAAGGCTAAAAAGAACAGCAGCCTTTCGCTTCAATAAAAGGCAGTAAAGGTTTGGGTTACCAAAACGAAAACTGGGGAGAGGTTAAAGGGAACGAGGTGCTTTTGCAAGTCACCACAGACGGTAATCAAATGTTTGCACTGAGATTTATTTCCTGCTAAGTTTCCCATCCGCTATAAAATTAAACAGTAAAGTCAAACTGATCGTCCTCATCCATCATGTTCCACTCAGGTGGTCAGGTGTGCTTCAGCCTGGGAGCTCCCCTGACTGACTGTCCAGGCAGATCATCGTCTGTGGTTCATCACACCAGCGGCCTGAAGCAGCAGGGACCTGGGTGATGCTGGCACACACACACACACCATAGCCTTTATAAGGCTGAACTGCTCACATTAGACCACCTCAATAAATCACTCCTGTCTTCAGAGGCATGACTGCTCCCAAACTCAAACACACACTCAGCCTGTCTTGGCTGATTGGGTGTGTGTGTGTGTGTGTGTGTAGGGAGAGAGGGTCTGAAGCAATCTATCAAGGCGATCGATAAATAGGGGCATTAATATTAGTAATAGGGCTCTTCTCCAGTCCAGTGAATATGTCTCAGCCTTTAAAGTAAAATATGAATTTTTCTTGGCACCTCAATGGAAGGCCGTTCATGTGCGCATGAGACTCTACCTGAATGCAAAGAAGATGCACACACACACTTACTCACACACACACACCAGCTTACTCTCTCTAGGGAGACTTGCCTTGCTCCTTTCACTCTCACCACACACGCGCACACACATATGCGTAACAGTGAGACTGAAGGCATACACGTGCCTGGCGCGTGCGTGCCCGTATTGAAAAATGATCCAATGAGCCCGATGTTAAAGCCCAGCGACCAGACTGTGCATTAGATCCTCGCCTCATCAATCATCCCTGCACTGACAGCTTATGCGCAAATCTTGCGTGCACACGCGTGCGTAAGTGAGCTCGCGTTGCCTTGACCCGCACCATATTTGCTCAAACCAAATCTATCCATTCATGCGTTTTAAAGGTCACGTCAAGGCAATGTCGTGTGCAGATGGTCCAGATCTCTGCCCAGGAAAACGCGTGACGGATGAAAGTGGCACTTGCGTATGAGTCGGAGCAGTTACTCCGAAAAAAAAACAAAACAACGAAATATTTGTTTTCCTTCCCTGTCAGCCTGATCTGTGGATATTTAAATATGATGTAAAAAGCAACAAACATTTAAAGCAATATTTCCATACGCAGCCATGCGCGTGGATTCAAATCCTGACATAAAAACTCATATTGGAAGTAGTGCCTTTAAACCCTTGGAGCGCACAGAGGCAAATAATAATAATAACAATAATAATATCAACCTTTACCCTACTGCCCATCTTTGTTCTCTCTTCATTTCACAATCTTTTGCTCACCTTTGTTGAAAGCGAGTGCCAAAGTTAGGATCCAAAAGCCAAGCATGGTTCATCCGAGCGCATTCAGAGTCCTCCCCTCGGCTCCGTTTCCCCTAAAAGACACCATCAATTCCTGCAGAGCGGCTGATTTGAACAGGAATCCTTTCTGAGTCATCAGAAGAAAAAAAGAGACGTTTGAAAGAAAAAAATCTAATGCCCTTTTCCCCCCTTTTTCCCAAACTACTTCTCACTTTTCTCGTGCGTAAAATGTATCTGCTTCCACTTTTCCAGTTGTTTTGTTTGCTTGTTCAATCTGCAGCCCCTATCCTTCCCATTTAAACAGTTCTGAATTCCTTTCTCCCTCTTCTAACCCTCTCTGTCTCTGTGTGTCTCTCCCCCCCTCCCCTCTCACAGACAATCAGTGGCACACATCCCCTCTGTCTGTACTACCAGCACCTCCACGCCCCCCCTCTCCAAATCTCAGTTAATGCTCTATGGAGGGGAAGGAGGCGCTGCTGCACATTCCCAACTTCATCTTCATTATGTTATAAAAACAAAATTCACTTTAAACCTTATTGTTAGAAAACACCAAGAGAGTGTTTACTTAAAAAATTCTTGTCAGCTTATTTGTGTTGTTTTTTATGTTCTTACTCCTTTAGAGTGATGTCAATGATTAAATATTTAAATAGCCAGAAGGCTAAAGATGTTTATGTTTTATAACTATATGAATATTCTGGTTAAATATTTGTAATCTCAGTTCTACTCTTAGGTCACAAGTTTAAGCAATTTTGTGTCATTCTCTGTGGGCATTTTGTAAGAAAATAACAGCTTTATCATTTCAGAGACACAAGCCTCATAATGGCTGTTTTAGAAAGATCAGTGGAAATACCTCCAAGAAAATCCTCTCTTAACAGTGAATTGGATAGAAAGTCATAACAGTGTTTTCCAATTTACTCACAATTTGCAGTACCAAGGCTTGAGTCACTGTATTGTACTGCCCTCTGGTGGACATGTTGTATAGCTGCACGGGACAAAACGTAAAGGAGCAGGGCAATATTTCATTACCACTATAAATGGCAATATAATTCAATCTAATAACGGTAATATGACATTTGCAATATTTCAACTTACAGCTGATGATAACATTTGTCACATTCGCTACAGGGTTTTATTCTATGTGTTTTCTTTTTCAAACGTAATAGATCCAAGAGTTATTATATCAGAGTTTTATAAACATGGAAAAATAACTTCTATGAGCTTGTATTGGCATCTATTATGGATATTCTTAGGCTTTTATTTTGTTTTATATCTATATTGAAATTATATTGTATCGACTGAAATTAACAATATTGTTTGGACCATATCATCCAGACATATATCTTCTAAACTTCTTCGATGGGATGTTGTGTTTTTACTGTAGTGCTAGAAGCATCCTAACAAAAAGTCCAAATATGAATTTAATTTATGTTTTAATACTTGATTTCCTACTCAGTGTGGCAGCAGACTAACACCTAAAGCATGGGTTGAATGCAGAGGAAAGGTGTCCCTACTATGAAACTACAACATGAACTTTTCCTTCCTTATCCAGTAGTGTTTTTAAATTTAAATGTGATACAAATAAAACTGACGTTAATCACAACGAAAATAAATCTAAAAGTGCTAAATAACAGCATAAAAGAGTAGTTTAATTTTTGCCATATTTTACCGATTCATGAATTTGCTGCAAAAGCATTTAAAAAAAAATCATATTTATGTTAATTTTTTTCTTTCTCTGGTTTTTGGTGTTATATGCCTCTTTCCTATCTATTCTGATGCTGCCTTCCTCCCTAAAAATAAATGACACCCAATTACTAAGGGGTGGACCTGTTTCGGTTCAATTTGCATGTTTTCTAAGCCATGAAAAGGCTTTTGTTGGGTTATTCTATAAGGCCTGGAGCTCCACATCACTCCAGATATTTTGAACAGAGAAAGCTTTCAGGATGGGAAGCTAAACGTCTTCAAACTTAGTAAAAAAAAAGTCCAGTGTTTTGTTTTTAACTTTTTTCGGAATGACTATGACCTGGATGACTGAGAATCTTCACCAGTATTTCCCTAAAACTAAACTTAGATCTTCCAAATAAACAAATGGATTTTAAAGCAGATTTTCTCAGATCAAAAAGAACCAGTAACAAGCAGATGAAATTAACCCAAATTTTTGTTTATTGAAGTCAACAACTCAACTTATATTCTAACAAAAAAAAAAAAAAAAAAAAACTGGAAGAGAAAAAAAGCCTAACATATTCTTTTTTTGTGTGAAAACATTATAGCCAACAGCTGTAAACCCCATTACATCATCATTTGGGGTTTTGCACTGATGACATTGTCTGCCTTCTTTTTTTTTTTTTACAAATTAACACACACAACAGCACTATTTCCATGTGACATGAATATTTACCCGAAAGGAAGACTTATCATCCAAAAAAAGAAAAAAAAGAATTTCTTTGTTCATAGAAATAAAACCATTTCTTTTTGTGAAGCAACACAATAAGGGTGTCTCTGAAGTCTGTTTGGGTCGTTTTATACACACTCATACACAAACACACACACACATTTTAGTACAAATACACCACAGGAGCAGACCGCCTGCCGTGCATATTTATGTATATGTGTGTTGATGCATCCACAGTGTGTGTCTGTGTGTGTGTGGTGTTTGTATGGATCTGCATGTAAGAGTTTCCAGTAAAGGCAACACTATTTACAGGAAAACTTGGAAAAGTGATTGCTGAAACAGGAAAATAAAAGCAAAAACTACAATTCTAACATTCAAGTTTTGGGAAATCTAAATAAAATAAGATAATAAACCAAACTGAAAGTAAAAACACTGATGATTATGCACAGCCTTTTAAAAAATTCTGACATAAAATAAATGGTTTCTGCTACAAAAAGAGGAGAGAACATTATAGGCTGCTAGTTTTCTTGTGCCTACAGACTGGGGGGGTGGGGGTGGGGGGGTGGTTATGCTAAAACTGATCGAAGACGGAGAAGAGAAGTGATGCTTTTGATTGCACCTGCTGACAGTCACTATCGCACCAAGGCTAAAAAACAGATGCACTGAGAGCACACCTCAGTGCAACAAATGCAGATTTCCCTATTGGAGTGTTGGAGGGAAGAGAAAAAAATAATAATATTTTGTCAGCAGAGCTGAGGCGGTTCCTGGCTGATTTATCTGGGACGTGGTTATGTTTGCAGAACAGAGGGCAGCAGCTAGGTCTCAGGAGAGTGGCCTGTCGGCACTTCTCTTCTCCAGCAGTATCTACACTTTCCAACCATTTCTCATGCAAGCTACATGCTAGCACATTAACTAAGACAAAAGACAGACACTAAATTACAGGCAAATACAGGTCCATTAGTTTTTAAAAAGACATTATACTTTAAGTATGAGGCAAGTATTTCCTCTCTCCAGCATGAGCAGAGTTAGAGTAGACTGAGGATAAATACAATTCAATGCCAACGTCATTGAAGTGTGCAACAACCTCTCTGAGACAGAGCTGATTCTCTGATCTTCAACCATAACAGAAACTAAAAGTCGAAACAGACACTTTTAAATGACAAAAACAATCATATATGAGCTGTTCCCACTGTGACCCACACAGCAGCAGTTCCCTGACCCTCAGAGCCAAATATCCTACACTTTTTTAAAAAAGTACTTGATCGAGAATGAAGCCTTTTAAAGACGCCATCCTTAATTTGTCAGTTCCCAAGAAGCCTGTTATCTACACAATTACATTAGTGGAAGCAGGATTATTATACCTCATTTGCACATTTCAGCCATATAAACATATAGATTAATCAAAAGCATCTAATTCTTCTTAAAGTTAATATTCTTAAAACTTTGATCAATGATTGTCTATGAATTATTAGAAATAATGTAATGAAACAGCATCCACCCTAAAATTTATGGTCTTTTTTATGCAAAGACATAAAAAAGACCAGATTCCCTTCAGTTTTAAACACAAACACAGTTAAATTGTTAAATGTAAAGAAATATACAATAAATAGTATATTCTAATGTTTGGACAAGTGAAGGAGAACAACTAAGCTTCTTAAAATGTGGTATAATCCGCACTGTGATCTTTCAATCACCCTAGGTTGTACTCAGATTTTATATAGGAAGTCAATTAACTTTAATTGATAGCTGATTCACCGCAGCCAAACACAACAATTTTAGCTTCAATCAGAACCTGCCTAAATAGGGAGGTTTTTAACACGGAATCAAAAGTCAGAACCTCAGATTTTTATTCTAAACAAAAATAAACTTGTAGATAAACAATGAATTCTCTCCAAGCCAACATGCAGTAGAGTTTGTTGATACAATTTCAACACATGCTGGACCAAAGATTATATAGAGGACTGCATCATCTAATGGTTCAAATCAACTTACAGTATGTCCTATTTAGCTAATTTTCATGCTCAGCACCTAAATTAATAGTATTTATTCATATATATATATATATATATATATATATTAACACTCACAGATCTGTACTTAATTTGGAATTTCTTTGACGGATCAAAAAATGTTTTATATATAAATGTAAATTAATTCAGACAGTAATTACTGTAGCTTGCTTCGTTACAAGCATCATAAGCTGACCACTTTTTCTTCAAATGTCTCTTTGGAATGAATATGTTTACTTAAGATGTTGCATTATACAATTTTGGTGAAGATTTAATGAGATTAGTACAGTCAGAAGTGCAATAAACCATTTATTATTTTTGCCTTAAACAGATCATAAATATATTGGATTTTGAGGTTAGGGTGTTGAGAAACATCTGACTTTATTTCTCAAACTGCAGACTTCAGAGGTTATTCCTGTTATTTCTTTAACTAGTAACCACAAAATGAAATCTTATGAACGTAATGGAATGAAAAAGTAATTCCCTTATCACAAACGAGAGTGAAGAAGTCCTGATTCACTATTGTTCTAAAAATCGTGGGTCAGCATGCTGGTACTTTACATCTTTAATATTCGCCGAGTTAGTATTTGTTAGAAAATGTTTGAAAACTCTTGATCTAAAAGATGTAGGACACGGGACTCTGGAGACCAGGGTTTGGGGAACCACTGTTATATATGTTTAGGATGTAGCCAATCCCAGTTCTCACAGGGTGAAAGGCAGAGCGCACCCTGCATAGGGTGCTGGTCCATCAGGGACCAGGGATGAAACAAAGAGACGGAAAAGGATGACGATATATTCTCATGCACACTCATAACCTAACTGCCGCCTGTCTTTGGACTTGCAGAAAAAGGTCTGAAACAAACTCAGGCAGTTACAGGATGAAATTCTGCAACATCTCAGTCAACAACTCTCAATAAAAACTAACAGGACCCTGTTAAGCAGCAGAAAATACTTGATATATTAATATTTTCAAGGGTAGTTTGCAAATTGATCACGGATTCATCCTCAACACACACCCTCAGTTCCGCAGAGAGCTATAACCACACAGCTACTGTATGTCTCTGTAGCCTTCTCAAGGAGACAAAAGACTGGGAAGGAGATTTTGGACATTGATCGGAAATGGAGGGGAGGGGAAGGAAGGAGTGACGAGAGGAGGGGAAACGGGGTGAAGGTGGATCAGGACACAGACGGCTTGATTGATTAAAGTATGAAAAGAAATCGACGAGTGGGGTGGGGTTAGGGATCGGGGGAGTTGGAAGAAGAGGACATTAGGTTTCCTAAATGACTTTCTTGAGGACTGGAGAAGCCTGAAACCCCCAGCTCGTCCAACACAGCCTTGGCATGAGTACAACCTGCAGCCAGAGCCTCTTTGTTAGATTGCAATCAATTTCCATGCCTGGGCCAAGTGGGGCTCGCTATTGCCAAGACTAGGTCTCAACCTTAATAAAGCTGCGTTCATTCATGGAAAGCTTTCACTAAGCTGGCGAATGAGTCCTGCTTACACAAGAACATTCTTTTTTTTTTCCCCTCTCCTTTTGCCAGGAACTTAGTTGAAATGCATGTAGACAGCCCTGTTAGGTCCTGTGAGTATTTTCTCAACCCTGAAGTAGCAAACATGGCAGGTTCTTAGAGAAAGCCAGTGATGCCCCTACTCAATGGATTCAGAGCCAGATGGTCTTGCCAAGAAAGGCAATCTGAAGGTGAGAGTTGGGTTTAGCAGGCTCAATTTGAAGGGAAACATACATGAAAGACAGGAATGAAAGTCCATTAAAACCTTTCTCAATGTGTGTTTAGCTGACACTTTGCTACAGATTACGGGTCAAGGTTTGACAGCACAGGGAGAAACTGTCCACAGTAAGAGACAAAGAAACGACTTAAAAATGGCAAAATCAAAAGACCTTTTAACTGACATACAGGCAGACACTGTAAACTGTTAACACTGACAGTAACACAAGACGCGGGCAGGAAATACAACAATCTCCCCCCCCAACAAAAAAAAAAAAAATCCAAAAAAAGAAATTTAGAAAACACAAATAAACCAATAGGAAAAAAAAAACAAAACATTCTTTGTACAAATATTTGCAGTTCAGGTTAGGTTTCATCGCAACAATGTGTTTGTTACATCTTTTTCTAGCCCAAAGATAATGATCATTTTAACTGTATATTCACGCATGTAATAAAAACAGGCAGGCTTTTTTTTTTCTACTTTATTTTTGAGTATATAAGTTACTGTGAGGCAGTAACGGGCTGCATGAGAGAGGACAGAGGGTGCCGAAGAATGACAGACTGCAAAAAATAACAGAACAGAGAGTGTATTTACAACACACCGAACGCTTTCTGTTAAGTAAAAAGAATGCTATATAACTCTATATTTATATATTTATATATATTTATATATGTATATTGGAGGCCCTGGGCTTGGTAGCGCAAGGTAGGAATGCTGTTTTTGCAAGTTTTTGTGGTGGTGCGTTGTGGAAAAATCTGATCGTCTGCAGGAAGATGTTTGGTGGCATTAAACCATTAAAACAAGATAAAAGAGTATAGTTTTTTTTTTTCCAGTCAAGAATTTGTGTCTGCCCAAAGCGTATTTTCAAAGGGATTCTGCATGGTTTGGATAGAGAAAATGAGGACAGGAACATGAAGGGGGCAGACCTAGTTTGGCCTGCAGTGTGGGGAGAAAAGAGGTTATGAAAATGTTGGAATGTGGTTTACAATTTATCTTTTTCACCGCGCTGACAGTTGGGGAAAAAAAAAAGGGATGCTTGAGGATTTGATAGTGGACCAGGATGTGTTAGTAGGAAGGTCGCCTTTGTTAATCTGAGCATCTACGAGTAGAAAGAAAGTCTGTGCAGAAAGAAAAGATGTGAATCGGGTGTTTTTCTGTGTGTGGGTCATGTGTATCTTCAGTTCATCCAAATGTCAGTGCAAAAAATCTCTCTTCCCTGTATCAATGCAAAGAGGGTAGTTGAAGCTTTGCCCACAGTTCTTTACCTCCCTGCCCCTGCTAACATTCCTGCAACAGAGTAAAGAACTGAAGAGTTGTGAAAACAAATGGAGGTTTTTCTCTTTCTCCTCCAGCTTAATCCTCCATATTTTCCTCCTCCTAGCTTTATTCCCTCCCACCACTCTGTCTCCCCACCCATCTAGATGAAGTATTCCTTCTTTTCTTCGGCTCCGGAGTGGCCTCCCTCAGCATTGATGATAGCTGTGTCGGCGTCAGGCGCGTCGTCGGAACCCTTGGCCTCATGGGTCAGATACGTTCCTGTGGGAAAAGGAGAAAAAAGCGTGAACCAGTGAGCTGGAGACAGCAGGAGAAGGGTGGAGTAATACGATTGCAGAGGCTGTAAAAGACCACCAATAGGATGGGAGGTTTCAGATAAGATTGTAAATATGTTTCATTGCGGTCCCTAAGCTAATACAATGAGTGCTTTCTGTGAATCTTTGTTTTTCTGTTGGTTTAAGTGGCTGAATTACTGTGGCAGAGACTGTGGAGACAGAAAATCAGCCCAACAGAAACACCAATCAGGAAGTTAATTATGTTTTTTATTTACTGCCGCAAATGTTTTCAGCTATTTGTTAGTCACAATATACAGATTCGACATTTCATCACTACCATAGAGTTGTTTTATGTGAGAAAAATTCCTAAAAGGATATTGGTGCTGAGGACTTAGGACAGGCAGCGCTGGGAATGAGGTCTGGCTCCATTTCCCCGACATTCTGATTAGTGATGTGGGAAGAACCCTCCCACTTGTTTGGGTTCCTTTAAATCAATAAACTGATGGTAGGCAGCAGCAGATCAAGAATGAAGCAACGATCTGATATTATTTTTTTATTTTTCTGCATGCCAAAATATTCTAGTAGCATGCCTTAAAAAGCTTTGTCTCATTTATCTTATAGCAAATAATACCAAAAGTACCAATAATGGTTACCGTTCTTTGCAAAAACAGAATATATTCAGGTAACAAAAAAAAAATCCCATAAAAATCATTTTTTTCTTCTTCATAAATTAAAGTTGATTTCATACATGCAAGTTCTAAAATGACTCAGCAGAATACTTTAAAATGTAACTAAGTAAGTAAACAGTAAGTACTATTTATTTATGAAGTTCTTTTCAAAGTTAAAAATCACAGTGCTATACAAAAAATAAATCCAATAAAACACATGTGAATGAATTACATACAGTAAATGTATAAAAAAATATAAAATCCACAATGTAAAGTTTTTTAAAACAACAATATTTTTAATTGAGTTTTAAAATCGACCACACAGTCGACCATACAGAGGGACAGAGGCAAGTTATTCCACAATCTGGGCTGTTTGGGGCGTAGTAGTTAGTAGTATGGCAGTGGAGTTTTATATAATCTGCTTTTTTGTTTGGTGATGATTTATTGAAACATGAAAACAGAATCACTGTATTCATAGTGCGATAAAATAAAATCATGAATATAATTTCAAGATCAAGAGTATTTAAGTGTTTAAACATTTCTGAGTGTTAGGCAGTAGGCTAATACATAAAGAGGGTTCTGCAGTCGATTTATATTTTTTGTATTCCCTGCATTGTCAAAATTACTGACGCCAACTGGCAGTGGTGTAATCAAAGGGTCATCTGTTCAAACCCCAGCTCTCACTGCCGATGCCGTTGTGTCCTTGTGCAAGGCACTTCACCCGCATTGCCTACTGATGATGGTCAGAGGGTCCACTTGCGCCAGTGTACAACAGCCCTGCTTCTGTCAGTGAGCCCCAGGGCAGCTGCAGTGACCATGTAGCTTGCCACCATGTGTGTGAGTCATTGGGAGACGACTGAATGGGATGTAATGTTACCATATGGCACTGCATATTATTTTGTGTTAAAATCTGACAAAAGCCAGAATTCTTCATTTGTATAAACTGCATATGTCCAACCCAATAAAATGCATTTCTTAGTCCACATTAGGAAAACACAATTGCAATACATAAAACTTTATAATTTAAATGTATTCAATATAATTTTGGCTCACATTAAGACATGTCATCCTTCTTGATGGGTGACAGACTGTATGGATCAAATTATTAAAAGGAAATAAATATTTTCATATACTTTGACACAAACCTTTAGCTGTAGTATATTGTGAATATTTGATTAGAATGTATTGCTTTAAATTTGCTAAAATTATAAGAACTTTACTCTTGACGTTTTTGTGTGACACAACTGAATAATACAGGCAGTATAAAGTTACTTAAACCGAGTCACACTAATAACCATGGTTGGGACAAAATTATGAACACAATCCGGCAGTCTTTCTTAATCACACAATAATCAGGATAATCTTCAAGCTATTGTTTCTTGTAATTCAAGTCAATGTTGGCAGATAATAACCTGGATTGTCGAAAGATCGGAGTTTTCAGTCTCTCAACTAATCCATCTTGAAAAACTCTCGCTAATGCGTCCGTCTCGTAACAACCAGCGAGTCGGACCAGCAGTGTTTTTTGAGGCAGGAGATGTAGGAATGACAACAGTCAGAAGGGCCTTGCTGGGCATTACAAACATGGCTACGCTGGAGGACTCACCAGTCAATTTAGCTAAAATAGCGACAATTTCAAGTTTAAAAAAGGAACAATGAGAAGCACTCTGTGCATTTGTGGATGTGAAAGATGTCTGCGCTTTTCTTCCGATGGGATTTGGAAAAAGTTAAATTTATCAGATTAGGAAATGTCACGATTTGCTGCTACAATTGGCTAAAAGCGTATTTTGGAAGGCGGGTGCTAGCTGGGACGTCAACCAATCAGCTCCAAGTATTGTACTAAACTCCTTTTCTCGGACAAGCTGAACGGCAGCCATCCCCGATTGACAACGTAGAACTCAACTCACTTCTACACATATCAATCTGGCTACTGCAAGGTTAGGCAGGTAAATGTTATCAGCTGTGAAAGAAGATTAAAAATTTAGTATTTTGGTGACAAAAGGTAAACTTTTAACAGAAAGAACCTGATTTACTGTTAGTGTTTTCATAGAACTTCAACAGTTGAGTTAATAATTCATTCGAGGCGAGGGGGTGATTGATTTTTCCATCATAATAATGTGATGCATTAATTTACCAAAATGACTGTAACTGATACATTTTCTGTTGAGAGGAAATATTAACTCGAAGAAAAAAACTTAGTAAACACAACATGTAATGACCCATATTGAAAAAGGATTCTTTTACACTTGCTATGAGACTAGAGCCAAAAACAGGATATGGGATGAATTGAATTGGCCAAACCACTAAAGGAAATATCTCAACTAAGATCGTGGACAGCAAATTTAATTATATTAGGTACAAGCTTAAGTAACGCAGCAGCTTTAGTATATCACCTTTTCAAACTGTTTACTCCAAGCTAGTGAAGTTTTGTCCTTATTTAGGTCACCATTTGTCTTTTTTCAGGGGCTTCATATATCAGACATCTCTCTTTCTAGCCCAGTAACAGGCCTTCTCTGTTTTAAAGAGCTCCTAATGATGACACAAAGAACTTTACTGTCATCTAAGTTCCGCTTATCAATTGGCTCAGCTAATTGATGCCAATTTTAAGCAATGTATAAAACCACAGGCCCCACAATCTCTTATGTGAAAGCAGCCTTATTGTGCCTTGTAATATCATTGTAGAATGGCTTTTAGTGGGTTTTACAGGCCAACACACCATCATGAATAACCGTGAAGCAGGAAGAAAATGATGCACTGCTCGGATCAGATGCAGAGGAAAACAGCAGTGAATATCCGTTTTTGTGGTTCTTGTTTGCAGGAGACTGACCCATTCCTCTAAGTTTTAAGTCTTTTGTAACCTTTAACAAGATTTATTTCACAATAGCCTCATATTTACTAACAAAAAGGCACAACCATGTGTCATGGTGGAAAGGCTGTGTCTAGGGCAGGGGTGGGCAAACTTTTTGACTTGCGGGCCAGAATGGGTTCTAAAATTTGACAGAAGGGAGCATTTGGACAAGCAATGTCATTAATTAAACCTGGGGATTGAAATGTATAAAAAAACAGACAATTTTCACGACCATAAGGCGCACCGTACTAAAAGGCGCAGTCTCAGTTATGTGTGCCATTTCTGTATTTAACACACACATAAGGCGCACCGGACTATAGTGCGCGTTTTTTATATACAGGTACATGTCCTCTACTACCTTTACATACCTCTACTGCGTATTTAAAAATACAGCGGGGGCAAAACTGAGTATGATTGTGCTTTATTCATGTATTTATTACAAAGTATTAATCAAACCTACGTGCTGGCCTTGAGACAGACACATCGCTGATGACACAGCGCTGTGATCACTCCTAAATTAACTTAAAATTTTGAAACCTGCCGACGGAATATGTTCGCTTTTATTGCCGGTATCCTGGTGCCTGCAGTTTAAATTATTTAGATGAAAAACACCTGCCAGCCACCGCGGTGAACCCGGAGGCTGCCCAGCCTAGAGGCTGCTGTTGAAGGGATTTCTACTGTCAGTGCACCGCTGGTTTGTGGGGGTCTGAGCGCCTCCGACAGAAATAGATAATCTGGATGAACTGACTGCAATTATGAAGTTTTCAGGTGGACTTTCTCACTTAAAAACATATTAAAACTACTTTATTCCCACTGATCACATCAAATATAGCTGCAAGATTTAGATTATTTAGATGAAAAAACACCTGCCAGCCGCTGCGGTGAAGAGGAGGAGACCCGGCCCAGAGGCTGCTGTTGAATTAAGTTTTCAGGTAGAAAAATAGAGCGGGAGCAAAACTGAGTATGATTGTGCTTTATTCAAGTATTTATTACAAAGTATTAATCAAACCCATCAAAGTCCTCATCCTCTGTTTCTGAATTAAACAGCTGCGCTAAATCAGACATGCCAATTTCCCCTTCTTCGCTGTCAGAGTCACTTTCCGTGCAGCGCGGCTCCTCAGAAATAATGCCTGCTTTTGCGAAAGCTTGAACAACAGAGCCAGCAGACACATTAGTCCAAGCATCAACAATCCATCCGCAAATGGTGGCGTAACTTGCCCGGCGCTGCCTTCCACTTTTCGTGAAACTGTGGTCTCCGTCTGTCATCCATCGCTCCCACGCCGCTCGCAGCCTTACTTTGAACGGCCGGTTCACACCGATGTCGAGCTGTTGAAGTTTCTTTGTCAGACCCCCCGGGATAACGGCGAGCACAGCGTTCATTCAATCACAGATTAACAGCATTGGTGATGCGTGGAAAAAACCACCTGGTCTCCTCACATAAACCTGCCTCAGCCACTCTTTCATCATCTCCTCATCCATCCAGCCTTTTTCATTTGCCGTTATATCATTTGTCATCAGAGCGCTGTGTCTGACTCGCTGTCAGCTCCCAGATCAGCTTCTCTGATTGGTTGATGCGGCGCTTCCAGCAGCAAAACTTCAATTTTTCCATCTCGAGCAGCAGCAGCGCGTTTCCGGCGCGTCAGATAAACGCTCCCGACGCGCTGCGCCTGCTGCTCAAAACGTGCTGCGGGACCTTTTGCTGCGCCTATACGCGCGTCAACCGTTGACTTTGCATGTAAACTCGCTGCTTCTGCTGCGCCTGCTGCGTTCGGTTCACACCGATGTCAAGCGGTTGAATAACAGCGAGCACAGCTTTCATTTGTTTCACCATGTTTTTCACATCAGCTGTGAGATGGGCACGCATGGAGTCACAGATTACCAGAGATGGTGATGAGTGGAAAAAAACACCTGGTCTCCTTACATTCACCTCCCTCAGCCACGCTTTCATCATCTCCTCAATGAGGAGATGAGGAGTTCTGCATGGTGCATGGTGGTCTCAAAAGTCGCAGTTACAACACACATAGGGCGCATCGCACATTTTGAGAAAAAAAAAAAAAAAGATGTTTATGTGCACCTTACAGTCGTGAAAATAGGGTAATTTGGACAAGTTCGGCGGGCCGGATTAAAAAGCCTAAGGGGCCGTATATGGCCCTGGGGCCGTAGTTTGCCCATGTCTGGTCTAGGGTAATGTGTGTTGCTACTGTAACATAATTTGGCTGCAAACCAAACAGTAAGCTCTTTTAGTTTTTGGACTGAATGGATGAAACATTCAAAGCTTGTGGTATTGGTTTATAATCTAATCCTAATTTAAACTTTTCCACAGCTATATATCTGACCTTTCTAGTGTGCTCTTCTAATGCTTGTCTTTGACCTAAAATCTCTATAAACCACAAAGAGGTTTGTGGTTGACAACAGGTACTGTAACAAACTCTAATGAGTAGAAATACTCATTATTCTCTATACCAGGGGTAACCAATTAAAAATCAGCGGGGTCCAAATACAGAAAAACATCAAGCAGTAAAGGTCAGGAGACATTTTTAATTAAAATCTGTTACTTTAAAACAAATTTTAACACTGAAATAAAAAGCATGTTTTAAAGCATCTATGTTATACATTACATTTTTAAATAAAAATATATATAAGAAAAAGAAATCTGAAGTGTTTTTTGAAGTAGAGAAAAATCGTTCAGTTTGATATATAGACAATTTCCTGATTCACATATTTTATAAAACGCCTGAACTTTTTTTTCTTTATTTTTTCTGTCTTAATGAGAACAGTGGGCTTTAAGCTGCCCTGCAAGGCTTTAAACCTGGGTTTGAATGGAGACAAAGCCATTCTAAAGCACATATCAAGGTGCTCATTAATGAGCCTTGATCAATATCTATTTCTGACTATGGTCATGGTGGGGAGTCCTGCTTCCCTGCAGTAGGTTGAGCTAAACATACTCAAAATGTGCAGGGTCACCTTTGAGCATGCCATTTCACTTTTCTTTCACTAATTCACTGCAGCTTTTTCAGCAGTCCACACATTCCTTGCTCTCTTTTTCTCATCATCTTCTCCTTCTTTCCCATAGTCCGGCTTGCCACAGGTTTGCCTGCTGTGTCTAAAAGTAGCTAGCAGCAGTGACCCAAGCTGACACAGCTGATTGGTTAATTTGTATCATGTGTAGCCTGGTGCCGGACGCTCCAGACGGCTTTACCATATTAAAAGGAGAAGCAGTGCAAGTGAAGTTAGACACTGTCGTCGGACAACATGCAGTAATTTATAAATGTTTTAAATCAGGTTGGGTCCGGATTAGCCAGCAGAGGGTCCGAATCCAGACCACGGTCCGCTAATCTGTGACCTCTGCTTTATACATTCATGTACTGTATGTGGGGGTATTAAATGGCCATATTTGTGCATGCATCCATATGTATGCCACTATGTCTTTTCATAGGTTCTTACATGAACACTTTCATTTCTTTTTATTTTTTTTTGCAGTGTTGCTGACCTTTGTGTCTGATGAGGTATCTGCCGAGGACGATGAGAAGGCAAAGCAGGATGAAGACGATAACTGCCACAACCCCACCGATAACAGCATGGTCCACGTTCGGAGGTTTCGACAGGGCTGTTGTGTCTTCAGGAGGGAGTGGGGGGGGGGGGGGGGGGGGGGGTTAAGAGAAGACAAGAAGTTAGGACCCAAGAGAAGGGAAATTATAAACAGAGCATCGTGTAGTATGGGCACAACAGGAAGAGATAAAAAGAAAACAGAGAAGGGACAAGACGGAGTAGAAGAACATGTAGAAGAAGCAGAGGAAATTCTAATTGGAGAAAGGAAAAACAGGACGGAGGGAGAGGAAAATAGACGAAGGGGTTGGTGGATGAATATTGGTGGAAATAGAAGACGGGTGATGAAAGGCAGCAGAAACCAAGCGAGAGAAAATAATAGGGATAGAGACAGAGAGAAGGCAAAAAGAAAAGATCAGAACATGGGAGTAAAGAAACATGTCAGGATATAATACCCACTGTGGCAAAGCTTCTCAAGACAAAAGCAGGGAAGTAAAAAAAAAAAAAAAAAGGCAAAGCAAAAGAAACTATTTCACCATCCTTATTTAAAATTGTTTGTACCTAACTTGCAAAGAAATCTGCATTTTACAGCATTTTGAGTGACTGGGAAAATACATAATTATGTTTAAAGACTCCTTTCGAGCTGTAAATTTACCTGTTTGGTTTAAAAAATAATAGAGATTCTATTTCTTTAGCGAATTAAAGTATTGGAAGTCATATAAGAATAAAGGCAAGTTCTTTAGGAAAACTTCTACACTGCCAAAACAACCAGAATGCTCAGACTGATGCAAAGGCATGAAAATGTTTCTGATATCAAGTTCTTCAAAGGTTTTCACTGTTGCATTTTCAAAGCAGCAAAACTTTTTTTGACAAAAGTAGATGCAATCTAATATTATAACCTTTCACCTAATATGATATATTTCAGATAATAATGATTTAATCCCCTGTAAGTTATAAAGTAGCTGATCAGAAAAAGACTTATTCCCTGAGTCTTTGCTTGCTCCAAATAAAAAACTTCTTCAAAATATATATTTAAAAAAATCAATTGTCAAAAAATATGCTGTTTTCCTTCCCTGTGTAGTAAAAAAAAAAAAAAAAACTTTTGGCAAAAACGTGAAAGGGCATCATATTCAATTTTTCAGGGACCAGATTTAAGGGCGGTTATGATTCTATCCAACTAGAAACATGGTTTGGGATCTGGAGGTCTGTCCACCTTTCTCCAGCAGAGGGCGCCCTAGGTCTCCTGGAGCTGAAGCTGACTTCCACACCTGCAGCTCGTTTGCTCATCAGGAGACCAGCATTTAAGCAGTGGTAGAGCAACACTCCAGTGCCAGAGTGTTAAGCCAGTTACGGTTAGCAAGCCTGAGCCAACCAACCTGTCTGATTCTCTGACTCCCCTGAAAGCCTGAACCTGAACCTAACCAGTTTTGTCCTCTCTGCTTCCTAGGAAGAACGTGACTGAACCCTGGAACTCTGGAAGAGTTTCTCAGCTGAAACCAGCCTGTCTGATCTCAGAAGAATCCTGGAAGATCAAACTGTCAGAACCTGCCTGCCCGCTCTCAAGAAGAGAACTGGAAGAAACTCAGATCTGAACACTGCTAAGTCTGAAGTCAAGCCCTGCCTCTGCCTAGCCCTCTGCCTGCCTTCTGCCTCTGGACCCTCCTGGTTCCCTCCCTCTGCCGCTCAGCCTAAATCACAGAACAGGTACAGACCTGTATTACTCAACAAACAACAGTTTTTGGATCTCAGCTAACCGAACTGTCCCTCTCTGCAGAGAACCCTGTTGTGACCAGTCCTGGATCTGTTTCCCAAACGTCAGCTCTTTATTAACATTGTGTTTTCAATAAACTGTTGAACTTTTCCCTCTGAGTCCGTGTGTGTTCTGCATGTGGGTTAGAAACCTTGATCCCAACATGACAACATGTATCACTTTTTTTACAGAATACAAATGTGTATAACTATAGAATATTTTTTTATGTGTTGCATCCAAGCAGTAATTTGAAAAGCTGCTACTGATAGTAAAAAATAATAATACTAACACTACTAATACTATTAATAATAATTGCAATAATGAAAAAAAACAATAACAATATTAGACTTTGAATATTATATGTTTTTGTTCAGATAGACAAAGTGTTCCTGAGTAGAAATATATCTATTGCTTTCTGTATATTATTTCTCTTTTTTTTTTTTTCGAAGAAAATTTCTAGTTGTGAACCATGTCAGCAGTAGTTTATGTACAAATGATAAAGTTTCTCCCGCTAATCCCTGAATAACTGGGATTTATCACAGATTCATGTCATTTAGCCAACAAAATTAGAATTTGATGGTTATTTATTAATACCTGTTTTCTCCCCCAAATAAGTTGCTACTTAGAGCAAAACAATTTGGTTTAGGGGAAAATGAAAACATTTTTTTTTTTGCCTGCGTTTTCTAGGCTGTACAAAATCCTGGGTGTTTGTAAGAAAGTCCCTCAGACAAAATCTATCTTAAAGCAACACTTTTTCTATTTATGGGACAAAAAAACGGGAAATAAAAGGGAAAAGTTGTATTCCACTAAGGGAGCAGCTGAAGGAACAAACAAAAGGAAAACAGAGAAAGGTCACTGAGAGACCCAGTGAGATTACAGTCAAGTGTCACGGTGGCAAACACAGATAAAATACCAAAAGATGGAAAAAATAAAGGGATTAAAACCAGTTGATGTGATGAACACCCAACTTTGCAAGGAGTAGCAGTTCTCTTTCTTAGAGATTTGTAGGGCCTGACAAGAGCTAACCGACAGAGAGCTGGAGAACAATGGAAAAGCTTGAAGCGTGTGGTGCAAGGAAAAGACAAAACACAGTAAAAGTGGAACACACACTCTGAATGGCCAGTGTGGAGGTGAGTGGGGCATGCTGACGAGGCGAGAATAAGAATGAGCCAATAAATCCTTCTGTCAGCATCAAAGAAAAGCAGACAAGACCCAAGAACAACTCAAAGCCAGTGCCTGCAACACCCCACGCTCCCATACTACACTGACACACACACAGGAAGTAGAACTAGCTCTAAATTCTTAGTTTAATTTAGGAGGTCCTGCTGAATATTGTTTCTTGAGCAGATCTTAGAGGGAACACCATGAGGGAATGGTGTTGCCTTGTCTTTAGATGTACGCCATGTGGGTGGGGCAATGAAAATGTACCTTTCTACTCTAGAAAACATTTGTTTTCTCATCAGAACATAAGAAGGGCAAATATGCAAAATATAAGTAAGATACAGGTCACAGAGTGATCAAATTTAAAAATGGAAACTAAATGTTATAAAGATTCAGTAGACACAGATTTTTTTTTTTAAATCAAATTCTGGGTTAATGAAAAGCATTAACTCAGTTAATGAGAAAATCGTAGGGATGCACGATATAATCGGCCCCCTATCGGTATCGGCCTGTATCGGCCTTAAAACTGAATATCGGACATCGGCCACCCCACTGATATTTAACCCGATATTTGATCAGCTTCTGAGTTTCTAAAGTCTTCCTCAAAAACGTATTTTTTACAGACTAAAAACTTCTAAAGACGAGGGAAAAAATATTGATACATTAAAATATCCAAATATCTTCATATGCTGATATATTGCCATTTAAAACACCATATCAATCTCTTTTACTAATGAAATATTGCGATATGTCATCGTTATGCTATGAAATCCCCCGAAAATTCCAGAAATTTTGCCATATTTTTATATGTTGATATATTGACACGGTATCGATCTATTTTACTAACAAAATCTCACAAGAATTATATCACGAGAGTTTGTAACAGAACGATGAAATTTCACGATCTATTTCACGTAAAATAGATTGATACTGCGTTTTTAAAAATTGATTTGATATCAGCATATGAAAATATATTTGAGTATATTATTTTTCAAAGTGTCAGAAATGAAGAATAAAACTGCTATTTTCAATGACTACTTATTTTTGTCCAGCTTTAACATCGGTATCGATATCGGTTCTCGGCTACACGAGTTTTAAAATATTGGCATATCGGATATCGGCCAAAATCCCAATATCGTGCATCCCTAGAAAATCTAAACATTTTCAGTTAAGAAGCTTACTGGAAAAAAGTCCAGGTTACTTCTGTGTCTGGTGGTTCTTCAGGATCTTTTTCTGTCTCCACCAACAGTCCACCCTTTTCTAATCTAACCCAAGCCATTGAATTTTTCTTGCTTTCACAGAACCGTCCTTTAATATGCTCCTATACATCATCCTGAGATCAGCCAGCTTTTTTTGTAATGCCAGTTGTGGCTTACCCTCATTGTGGACGATGTCAATGCCTGTCTGCTTTAAATCTGTGGGATCAGCAGTCCTCTCCATTATTGTGCTGGCCATAACCACACTTTTCTGCCTTATGTAATCTGGTACATTTCAGAGAAACTATGTTTTTCATTACCTCTAAACCATAACCCTTACAAAAACAGATAAATAAAAACTTTAAATATATTGCTGAGTTATGAATTTACATATGTGAATTCCCCTTTGTGAATTGAATTACCAAATTCAAATCACTTTTCCATTATAGCCCAGTTCAATAAGATGCAGATGTAGTTTGTGTAGGTGGGGTTTTTTTCCTCTTTCTAGTTAAATGACCTTGAGCAACATTTTTTCTTCTCCCGAAGTACATTAGACAGACAGAAACAAGACGGCATCACAGACAGATAGATGCACAAACAGGAGGAAGAAACACATACCCACAAAAACAAGTCACTGCTGGAAAGAGTTATACCTGTTGAGTTGCGTGCATCAACTTCCCAAGATGAGTAGATGGATAGTTGAATATTTAGATGGAGGATGGATGGATGGATGAATGAATGGATGGATGGAGGAACAGATGCATGGAAAAACAGGAGGAGTGCATGTTAAGGTCAGGGGTCAAGGATTAGGGATATCAATAAGAAGGAAGAGGACAACAAGAAAAAAAAATGCATGAAATAGCTGCAAACACCCTCAAAAATCCAACGTTTTTCCATCTTTTTGTGAGTTTTTGTGTTTCTGTTCATATAAAACAAGAATCTCTAACAGCTATGCAGTTTGTGTGTTAAAGCAGAAAATACCAGTGACTGTACTGACCCCCCCGCCTTTCTACTCCATGACTAAGCATCTTGTGAAAGTGCAAGAGTGGAACTGGTTTTACCTGTGAAAGTGTTAACTCCGTTCGTCTGGACGGAAACTGAAGGGGTCTGGGATGTAAGGGAAGGAGTCACAGGTGATGGGGGGAGGGAGGAGGAGTCAGGGGAGGAGGGCAAGTCAGGGAAAAGGACGTTGGAAAGGGTGGTGGTGGAAGAGGGTGGGGTTGTCAATGAGATGACAGACGTCAAAGTGGAGGAGTCAGGGGAAAAGGTGGAGAGGAAGTCAGGGGAGTCTGACCCTGAGCCTTGGAAGACATCAGGGATGGAGGAGGGGATGGGGGAATTCGGCAGAGGGAAAAACGTAGGGGTAGCAGTTGGGAAGTAGGGTTCATTGGGATCTTTGTAGGTCAGGTGGTGGAGAATAAGTTACAAGGCAAAGATAGATAGGCAAGCAAAGCGCAAAATAAAATAAAAAATAATAAAAGAGAACAGACCAACATGTAGAACAATCACATCACATCAACAGCCAGGGAAAAAAGGCGCAATAATGTGCAAAAGCGGTTTGGTGGTAATGATTGCACGGTTGGATGAGAAAAACAACAAAACAAAACAAAAAAGAAAATCAGAAGAGGAAAAAGATGGACGAACAAGCATTGCCACAACAAACAACAGAAGAAATAGAAATAAACGTATGATGAAGAAACGTAAAAGATCCCTATCAGTCCAGTTTCTTCCTCTCTCCTCTTACCTTGAACGTCAAGTGTGTAGCTTCCACTGCCCTTCCCAATGTCGTTGCCAGCATGGCAGATGTACATGCCGTTATCTGATTTGTTGAGCATTGAAAAAGACAACAGAGCTCCTTCTGCTTTGGCCAGTGGGGGGAGCTCTCCCTCCACCTTTTCCCAGTTGAAGATGGTGGGCCTGAGAAGATAAAAACAAGAAACATGAGCTAGTTGATATGCACATTCTGCTAATAAAGTAAGCAAGCAGTGGAGTGAAAAGATGGATAAAGACAGAGAAAGGGTTCAAGGAGAAGAAAGAAGAGAAAAAATAAAGATAAGAGCCACAGATGACAGGAAATAACTGTATATATATATATATATATATTTTTTTTTTTTTTAATCTAATTCTGTTTGATCAATATTTCATTTTACAGATAACAGAAAACATGCCATTTAGCAAAAATTGAAGAATTGTTTTCACTAACAGAATCTTTAACTGTGACACACATTAGACATGGTGCTTTTTTGCAATATCTCGACACAGAATCTATTAAACCAATCTGCCTTCAGAGGTCACATAGTTGGTTAATTCATCTGCCAGGCTGTTTGTGTTGGTTTTATACCCCTCTTTTAATTGAATTGCAATTATTCTGTACTCTGCCATATCCTTCACAAGCCTTTAACTGTTGTTTCATGGGTCAACAGCTGAAATAAGAACCTCTATGTTAGATAATGTAGGAGTAAGATGAGTATACCATAAATACCAAAAAAATAAGTGGAATGACACCCATGGAAACTCTGGAAGAGCAGCAGAGATCAACAACTCAGGTAGAACATGTTGGAAACCACAGTGTAAATCAGTGCCTTACAAATCCAGTCTGTATGTACAGTAAGTGTGGCAAAAAGAAAACCATATTAGAAAGACAGACTCTAAATCACTCTCATCTGCAGTTTTCCACAAAGAAATAGGAGATATAGTAAATGTGTAAATGAAGTTGATTAGATCAAAAATCAATATTTTTGGCCAGCATGCAGATTATACTGCAAGGTGTCCTGATGATAACCATTAAAACAAATTTTTTTCTCAAGCAGGACTGAAAAGCATGTTACTGTAGATAATAATATGTATGAAGTTAAATTAAGGGTAGTATTCAAAGAAACCTGCTTAGAAGCTTAAAACAAACGTAAGACGAGGACAATATATCAAGGCTATTATTGCAGCACAGACACAAATCCTAAAATTATTTTGAAAACTTGTCCATCAATGTGAATGTTCTTAAGGTATTTTTGTGCAAAGCTAGAAAAACCCCAGCCTGATTAGTTACATAGAATTTAATGAGAATAACAAAAAAAAAACATATTTTTTTTGTTTTAATCACCCTAAAGAGATTCTGCAGGTATGGATGCATATGCAAGGCTAGACAGGATTGAAAGAGATGGAGTTAGATGTTTGGCAGCAGACAGAATGATGATGATCAAAAAGACAGAGGAGTGCGCTTGGAAAAGAGATGTAGGGAGAAGGAGACAACGGAATCAGCATTTCAGATCTGCCCTTGTTAGAAAAATCCATTCAGCGTAACAGATTGTATATGAGAGAGATAGCAAGACGTTACTTGATAAAAGAATCAATTATGCAAATAGGAAAGTCCTTAAGCGCTGTACAGTAATTACAATTACTGCAAGTCAGAATCAGGCACAGAACTGGATGTCTTCCACTGATTAGAAATATGTACATAAAGGTGCAATCTGTAGACGTAAAGCTTTTAAGTGAGCATTAGTCTCCTCCTCGTTATATTTGCAATTACATCAAAATAAAAAAATAAAATTAAAACTCTTCCTTGCTCATAATTAAAGCTGCATTGTGTAAACCAAACAGCAGTTCAGTCCCTCAGCACTTGGCTTCGCTTTGTTAGTTTTGCATTCACTATAAGAACACAAATGCCAAGGAGGAGCTTGCACACTCAGTCAGCTCTCCCAAGACAAATAAAAAAGATTATCCAAGCATTATGTATTTAAAACAAGTGCGTCTGGTTACCTGCTATAAAATGTAATCAGCTGCTGTATTACGTTTCCACTAAATGCGGCATAATATGCAATTAATTCAACAATAACTGCACATTTAACTGCTGTTGCTTGTGTTCTGTTATTAAATATAATGATAATATGCTTTAGTAGCGAATACAGGTCAGAGCACAAGAAACCTGTCACATTATGCAAGTATAAAATCATATTTTCAATGGATATAAAAACTGCCTTTATGTGAACATTAGCAAGCATTAATAAACATTTGATTAAAGTAATGAATAGCTAGAAGACATTTTTATTGCAACTATAGCACCACTGTCAAGAAGACTGTTTCAGTGTTTTTGTTCAAATAATGTGATTAGTTTGTTTTTTATTAAATCATTTTTTATAAAAAACTCTAATTTGAGTATTATATTAGTAAACTCTTATATTTAGAACAGCTTTATTTAATGATGAGATAGGTTTTTATAGATTTACAGACAAGACTTTCAATCATATTATCTAGATATTATCTTTTAACAATAGATGAAATATATTTAACACTATCAGCTGTATAAAGATGATTTTTTATTTTTTTTGGTAATAGATAGATGCAGTAAAACTGTTTTGAATCCATTCGCTCTCAGCAATAGTTTTGAGGCTCATAAGGCAGCAGGATTCAGCAAAAGAGCTCTGATGCTGTTACTTCCTACCAGGCATTAAAAATCCAACAGTGAAACTCAGTGGTGAAGAAAAGGGAACTGAATCTGTTTGATTTCTAACGTCAGACATTTTTCTCTGTACTCAGTAACAGCAGAAGGGATCATTGTCACAATAATATACAACTTTCATTTTATCTCCTTCCTTATCTTAAAAATGCTCTATGCCTATCCTTAGAAAAATACTGCTTTAAGGGCCAGGATCAACAAAAGATGATGTGTAAATATTTACTTTGTATTTTACACTTTAAGCTTAATAAAAACACAATAAACAGCAATAAATGAATGTTTTGATTTTTTAAAGTAGTGAATAACACAAAATATAATAGGAGTTATAATAAATATTACAAACCTATAATTAAAGATGATATATTTTTTTAAATAATAAAATAGAAAAAAAGTATAAGTCCCAATTGGTGAAAGAAGCAAATCTTGCCCCGAATTGTGACTTTAGCTTAAACTCAAACATAATCTGGATCCTTACAAAATGCAAATAAATGATTCTTTGGCATGAGGCACATTTTCCATCAAATCCGTTCATATGTTTTCAATTGATCCTGCTAACAAACCAACAACGTTCCTTTTTTTGTGTTTTCATCTTTAGTAAAATACCTGCAGACTTTTTGAGTCTGATGCTGAAGCTGTCAACAGTCACTGCTGCCACCCTCTGGTTTAGTGGGGAACTGCTTGTTCTGCCAAAGATCCCTATCTCACAATGTTAGAGAATCTTTGAAAAAATTCTGCTATCCAGATTAATATTTGGATCATCACCAAAATGTACTGGCTTTTTCCCTTCCATGAGGGACCTCTGATAAAATGTTTTCTAAAATCAATCTATGAATTTTCCTGTATACAGATTAGGGGTGGAACGGTTCACAAAATCCACGGTTCGGTTTCGTGGTCACAGTTTTCCGTTCGCTTCGGTATATGTTGATTGTTAGTAAAATCTATTATGTCTTGTATAGTACAACACGTGTTGCACAATGCTTGCACACTGTTGAACTTTTATCCACAACTTTCTTTCCGCCGTCATCGTAGGTCACTCTAAATGCAAAGCGGTCCCATACAGCAGACCTATAAAGTGCTGCTGGCGCGTCTTCCAACTCCTGTTCTTTCCCACTCGCCATACCCACACAATTCTCCACAACAACTGATTTTTTTCTGCTACACCCGGCTACGCTGCTTAGCTTCTTCTTCTTCTTGTTTACTACTGGTGGTTGGCTTTGGTCTCATTACTGCCACCTTCTGCTCTGGAGTGTAAACGCTTCGCCTATGAGAAAAAGGAGCACCGCATGAACCGAACGCAACACACGCAAACCGAACCGAGACAGTCGAACCGAACGTTTCGGACGGTTTTCATAAACCGTTCAATCCCTAATACAGATACACAGAGACAAACACAAAAAACATAACCTACTTAAAATCACTTAAAAAAAACACATTTGCATATAATTTAAAGAAATGGGGATGTTTAAACTACCTAAACAGACTGTTCAAATGAGATGAGTACTCATAGTATTAGACAAGTTTAAAGAGAATCATTTGCTGGTGAAGATTCTCACTCATCCTGGTAATAGCCATTCAAAAAAAGAAAAAAGTTTTAAGATGTTTTGCCTCCTATCTAGGAAGCTTGTTCAGTTCAAAATGAAGGAAACAGCATTGAGTTCAAAGATTTATAGAGTGAACCAAAAACAAAGCCTTGTTTTGGCTTAGAAAACATGCAAATTGAACCTGAAAAGCGGGCCCACCCATTAGGAATGGGGGTCATTTGAGTTCTTTGTTAGCCTGCAATAACTGATACCTGTCTATGTCTCTGAAAGGGGAGCGTTAAGAGGGGGTTGTTGGCCTGGCTGAATAGGCGAGGTGTATTTTTCTTTGAGCCATACCTTATGCCAGCAGGGATCAGCTGAAAACTTTTGATATGAGTAATATATGTATAGCATTGCATCACACGCTTTTGTAGACCATTCAGGAGTGCAGAGATCATTTTTTAACACCTTACTTCATTATGTTGTAAGACCCCACTCTATGCCATTTCATGTATATTCATATTACTTACAGCATTGCAGCATGTCTTGGAAAGTAAATAAAACTCTGCTTTTGCCTTGCCTAATGAAGCCGAACATTTAATAGGCTAATCTGAACAGCAGTTCAACTGCAGACCATCAATTTGACAAAAGCAGTTTTAGCCCCATGCACTGAATTTCATACATATTGGCACATGTAAATATTCCCTCCCTAAAGCATACTGTACCATTAACCTCATTAATATTTATCAAGTATCTGTTCTCATCTGTTTGTGCACCTAAAAACAAAAGAAAGAGCAAAATTGTAAAACAAATGCAAGTTGTTTATTCCTTTGCATTTTTGATGTGGCTCATTGCATGGTACTACATTGACATTGTTGACAACTGGTTCGCTCATAGCTGTCAGTAGAGGATGTTGACGGGTAAGAAATGACTGCAGCGAGGAACAC